TATTTTTCGTCCTCAATTTCTTTTTTTTTTTTTTTTCCTTTTATTTTTCATCATTCTATAATTCGTTTATCCACAGTGTCCAACCAGTTTGTTTGTTAGATGAAAACAACGTGCATTTTGATTTTTCTGAAGCAATGTTTGTTCATTAGACGAGTATTTTTATTAATGAGTGTCTTCAGTTTTTTTCGGATTATTTGCACATCGTGTGAGGGTGTTTCTGTTCGATCATTGGATTTTTATCAGTATTTTTATTGACGAATCTCTACAACGATATTTCTTAATTTATTTGTTTTATGGTTTAATCGAACGATGATCGAATTATACAAATATCATTATTATATTATTGGTGAATCTATAGTGAATTTTTGTTGGGTTATGTGATATAAGAATTGGAAGGATTTTGTGGCTTTCTTATTTGATTGTATAACAAGGATTTCGATTCCTCTGTCCAATAATAAATTATTATATTTTTCATTTTGTCGATAAAATAATGAAAGCATTTCCTTTTTTCGAAAATATTCAAATTGAAATTCTTCGTGAAGTTTACACATGCCACGTTGGGAAATATTGTTCTAAAACGTGGTTTCTATGTCACAAGCTGAATATAGATACGCTAATAGAGATTATAATTGCCCGTCGAAGTTTCGTATTAGTCGGCAAACTTTCTTTGGTATATATAATATGATAATATTCATACGACAATAATATTTCTTCTCCTTATTTTCCTTCAATTTTTAAACTTCTTTCTTACGGTATGAAATAACTCGTTCAACAATTATAATATATATCGATAAAAAATTCGAGGAGTCAAAAAAGATTATAAACGGTATAACAATCGTATAACATAACCTCGAGAGCAATCTTTAACGATAATAACTCTTCTTTTTTACACCGTCCATTTGAATTCAAAATTTATTCCAAAATTTTACCCAAAATTTTCAAACATCTTTCCCTTCATTTTTTCAATTTTTTCAAAAATCACCCGAATTGAATTTTCAATTTTCAATATTCATACACTCTCGTATATCCATTCAAATATATACCTTGATCCTTCAAGTTATCAAAATAAAGAGAAAGAAAAAAGTGAAACAAATAAAATCAGGAGAATTATCACAAATAACGCGTAACTTGGAATATATCCTTATCCCGTCTTATCGAGATGGAGAAAGAAGAAAGGAGGGAGGAGGGGGGGTTGCAGAGAAATCGCATGAAAACGTGGGCATTAAACGGCAGAAAGGACGGTGGCCGAGATTCACGTCACCGGGCGCGTGTCCCTCGATTAAAAATTGATCAAGCCCCGGGAGCGGTCAGGTTCTTTTTTTCGCGGAAGCTCTTTTGCGGTCGCGGGACACCCCGGGGTACGTGGTTAACGAGTAGTTACGGGCCCGACCCTCTCTGTGGTTCCTCCACAGCAGCTATGGCGTTCCGTATAGGAGGTTTACCTATATTTAGCCCGATAAAAATACCATCGCGCCTCCC